TATATATATATGTATATATTGCATTCTAAATCTATATTATATGGTGAAAGTATTATTTTTTGTAATTTTCTATAGCTCTTTACTGTTGTGTTTTATAGTTTTATTACACCCTGTGTTTAGCAATTAGTGTTACAGTTTATTTTATAATATGCAAATTATTGCATTTACCTTAAATAAATGCTAAATCTTTGCATTTTGAGAAAATAATGGAAAGCATTTATATGATCTGCGCTACCTGAATTTAAAATTGACAAAATAAAAAATACTATTTAGCCAACAGGCTTAAAATAATCCAATTTATCCAGTTCTTTTATATTCCAGACGATTCATTAAAATTTAATATTACTTTATTTTTCAATTTTAACACTTTGTCTGAAAAAGGCTAAAATATTCTTCAAACATTTCATTTCGTAGCATTTTTCTAAATCTTAAATGCTATTTTCGTCTATTTCTTAGGATTATCGAAATTAGGTGGGTCCTTTTTCATTTTATTTTAAAGTTTTTTATTCGTTGGTACCAGTAATCCTATTTTGATGAAAATTGAAAAAATAATTTAATCACATTTTTTGGCACTGAATATATTTTTTCTATAATCCTTATTAGTTTGGCAGATGAATTTTTTTTCTCACCTAAAGGTTATCTATTTATTTTTTACGTCAAATAAATAATTTAGAATGCATGACGTGCACTTTGAATTTTATTGAACGTTACAATGAATTATTTCAACTTTAAAACAATAAAACGCGCCTTTGATTTATATCTAGTTTCTTAAAAATTTAAGACGAACATTTTCCTTCACAGTTTTAAAATTTAAAAGTTATATAAGCGAATTTTAATAATCGAAAGAGGGAATGAATAAATATTTTTTAGTTATTTATTTTTTGAGAGTTATTATATTGCAGGCGATAGTGGATTTTAACTGTATACTAATGTGTTAGGGGTACTGATCCTCTATTTAAGATTAAATTTTTCTTATGAAACACTTTTTTTATTTAAGAAATAAATATTTTAAAGTCCTGCAGTTCTTATAACTAGAGAATATTTTCTACAAATTTCTATACCTTTATTTTGACTGTAGGGTAATATGAGAAAAATGGTAAAATGAGAAAAATGAAATGATTATGAATAAACAAGAGAAAAATGAGTATGAAAATAGATGAGAAAAATTGTGAGAAATAACCTTTAATAATATGATTTTAAGAGTGGTCCACTTGCTATTTGTTCTTCAGTAGAAATGTGAAATTATTGACAAAACTCACTCTCTAAATTTTATTTCGATTAAAATTAAAAAAGAAGATTAAAAACCAAACACTCTGTAAGAAATTCGGTATCAGATTACGGTATAAAATGTCGGAATTTTGGGTGCATCATCCGTACAATTAATTTTAATGCACAATTTA